ACTAGAGGGACTCGACGAGTGCATGAGCCGACTCAACGAGTCGGTTATGATTTTTTCCCCAGGAGTCTGGACACGTGCAAACTCGACGAGTTGATGAGACAACTCGGCGAGTTGAGTTGGAGTTTTCCCGATTTTTCTAAGAACAGGAGGAACTCGACGAGTCGCATAGATGCACTCGACGAGTTGGGCCAACAAGGACTGTTGACTCGAGTGTTGACTTCCGTTGACTTTTAGGGTTTGGTCAAGTTATAGACATGGAGGCCATGGAGGGATAAAATGGTCTTTTCACCCTTTCCAAGAGTTAGTGAAGGGGTTAGCTTAACATCTTTAGAGTTGTTGTTATGAGTGTTAATTAGAGATGATTTTGACATATGTAGGCGGAGTCGAGACCGATCGTTGAGTACGAGACATACTTGCTTTGCTTACGAGGTGAGTCTTCTCACTATACTTACCTGAGTGGTAATACTGTGTGACCGGAGGGTCTTATATGAGTTATTGACCGGAGGGTCTTATTTGAGTTATTGACCGGAAGGTCTTATGTGCTTATACTGAGTTATGTGATATCATGCATTTTGTCTTTGTGATTTATGTTGTATATTATTTATATGCTTTATTGAGTTAGGACCGGAGGGTCCAAACCGAGTTGTGAGACCGGATGGTCTTCACTGAGACACCTGACTGGAGGGTCCGACCTGAGATATGAGACCGAAGGGTCCTTACTGAGACACATGACCAGAGCTTCCTTATTGAGATTTATCCATGAGAGGCTAATTATTTGTGCATGGTATTTTGGGGAACTCACTAAGCTTCGTGCTTACAGTGTTGTGTGATATGTGTTTCAGGTACTTCTCAGGATCGCGGGAAGGCGCCGACTTGATTGTACACACCAGTTGAAGTTTATGTTTTTGAGGATTCTGGGATATTATCAAACAATTGTTGACTTGTGTTTTGACAATTTATACATTTGTGGTTTTGAGAAATGTGATATTGGGTTTTATGTGATTTTAAAAATGAAAATTTTGGTTGAAAATTTAGAGTGTTACAAAATCTATAGCTTCATGACTGGATCCCAACTCAAAAGCATTATCAGATCTTATGGTTTTTATTTTTGTATTGAATTGTGTTTCAGCCATCTCGACAAAAGAATGAATGATTGTCAAGGCATCACTCTTGGTAATTAGAAGATATGTCATGGTGGGTTTGCTATAATCATTGTTAGGTGCATTTCATGCACCCATTTTGTAGTTTTATTTCATAAAATTTCATTGCATTTAGGCTTAAGCTCATGCATTTTACATGTTTTTCGGGATTTTCTATGATATTATTTCACTCGCACGCTTTTGTGATATTTCAAGGACTCTTGGAGGTGGGATCTCGCTTAGGGAGGTAAACAAAAGGTGCGGACAAGATTTCATGACTTTCGGAGCATCAGGAAGGAAGATTTGAGGATTGGGGACATTTAGGGACTTACATGGCCGTGTAAACTATAGCCATGAGTTTACACGGGCCGTGTAATCGAGCATACTTCAGCAACGTACTTTGAAGACCCAACCAATTTGAGCAGTCTACTTATTGCATTTACACGGGCCGTGTAAACGTTAGTGCAATTTTACATGGGCCGTGTAAACGTAGACGTGGGTTTAAAAGCAGTTTCTCATATTTCCTAAAAGAGGGCAACCGATTTCATTTTCCTATCTGTCGAATTTGGGAGCATTTTGGGCAATTTTCTGGAAACTTTTGGAGTTGATTAACACTTGCAAACATTTTATTTCATTTTGTAAGAATTTTAATTTCATTTTCTAGGTTTGTGATTTTGTTCTAGTCATGTGTGGCTAGAACCTTAGTTTCTCCAACTTTATGTCTTGATTTCTTAGTTGTGATTTCAATCATGTGACTTGATGTTTGCTTTCAATTTCTATCTAGTGAATTTGATTTTGTTTTGATTGAATGTTTGATTCTAATTGTGATTCTTATTGGCCATTTGAATTAGGGTTAGGTCATTCAAGTTATCTAATTGCAAAATCCGTAATTGTTTTGTAAATTGGACTAGGTAACAAACACTAAACTGATTTCTATCGAATGAATTTAGTGTAAATCTTATTCACACATTCTTACGCTCCCTAGCTTGTGAGGAGTATTGGATGTTGTTGGGAACATTCACATAAATCCTATTGCAACCTTTTGATTTCTATCTAAGAGCTTGTTTAGACTTAAATTAGAAGGTTAGATTATTTTCAAAGAGCTTGTTTTGAATTTGACAATTTGGTGAATGGGAAGTGTTAGAGCTTGTTAACACTTTCAAGTACCAACTTAGGTAGAATTGAGTAGATATCATATCATCCTTGGAATCACATTGCTAAATTGTCTTGCATAGAGTTGGAGTTCTCAAATATCTTGAATTTATTTCATTTAATCGATCATTTACTCATAACTTTAGTTTCTTATTTAAATCATTACACACAAACCCCCTATTTTGTGACTATTATTGTACCTTGCACAAAAATGTATAAGCATTTGTTCCGTGTCTCTGTGGATCGAACCTGCTTACCTTGTATTACATTTTTAGTGCAAAGTAGCAGTGTTTTTGGAGTCATTTTGTACCCTTTTATTTTTTGGGCTTGACACCCCCAACAAATTGACGCTGTTGTCGGGGACACAGTGTTACCAATTGTTTATGCGTAGATATTGTCGTACAGGTACACCATTGCCAATTGACACAGAGATAGAGAAAACTGCAAACAGTTTACGGAAGCAAGCCAAGCTTCGTAAGAGGCAACCGGGTTCCGTGACTTCTTCATCATCTACCCCTCCAGTCATTAACGTTTGGGAGGATATACCCCTCTCAAGTGTATCCACATCCGAAACAGAAACTCTCTCATTCTCACCTCAACCATCCTCACCCAGAAGTATCACTCCACCTTCTTCACCTACTCATAACATCCCGAACTTCATACCTATAGAAAACTCAATTCCTACTCATACCATGGGAGACAACCATGAAGGGAATCACGGTTCTCTAAATCCACCTACCCGAGCAAACCCTTCGCCAATGGACGAGACAAGAGGTTACTCAACAACCTCTTTGCATCACCTATCCAGCAGCTACTGACCTTAAACTAAAATTTGGACTCATTCATCTACTTTCAACTTTTAGAGGCCTTGAAAATGAAGATCCTCACAAATCCCTCACATAATTCCATGCTGTGTGTTTTTTATTTGTATTCACTATAAGTTTATGATTTAGAAGAAGTAAATCGTTTTTTTTTTCATTCTTTCCAGTTCCTATTTTCTCGAGTTCGAAAGCATTGAAGCAACAAGGAAAAAAGCGTCAAATATGATCGTATTTTTAAAGTTTGGATTCAGAGATAGATGAATGACAATGAGAATCATCAGATTTGTCGGTTCTTGATTCTTGTTTTATTTAATCCAGATTAAGGACTTCTTGATTATTGCTTGTATAAGTACAAAAGATTACTTTTGTACTTTTTTTTATGAACAATCATGATTAATAGTGTTCTTGATTTTTTGAAAGGCTAATTAAAATTCTGATAATTTCTTGATTTTTCTATGAATAGTTAAGATTCTTAGATTTCTTGATTTTTTTTCTTAGGGTTAGCAGTAAACAACAACGTATTTTTTTTGAATTGTTTATTATATTTACTTTCATTTCTTCCTATAACATCATTGTAATTTGATAAATATAATGTTATAATTGAGAGTATTTTTCAAAGTACACCAGCTTAATATAAAAATAAAAATAAAAATGCAATGTTGTAAAAGTAAATGTACAATTGTTTTGTTTAAATTTTTAGTTTTTCTAGTTTTAGGGGCCTATCTTTTGTTAAATTGCACCGGATCTCCGAAATCTCATGGCCAAATCCTGCTTTTTGTTGTATATGTTTTTTGCATCAAAATGTCTTGAAAATGTATTTGATTTGGAAAATTGATTGTTACTTTAGTAGTTGACTTGTTTAATTAGTTTTATAATGACTTGTTTAATTAGTTCTATAACAAGTGTTAGTAGTCATTGGGGCATGCATGTTTTATTCATGTCATGAAATAGATATGCACCGTGAGGATTTATTAGTATTTTTTTTATCATGACCGGGTGTACGATCCATATCGGGAAAGTTGATTCTCATACCATTAATGCATTTACTAATTTGTTAACTTATGCATTGATTGACTCATTCTAATTCTAGTCTGGATTTTCTTTCATCTGATGGCTCCCATGTGAAGAGGTCTTGATACTTTCTGAGAATTATTCATGATATTGTAGGAAGGTTTCTCCTATATGCATGGCTTGGTCTACATGTTGGTCGTTTATAATATGGGTAATGATTTGTATACAATATTTTTTAGTCATACATAACATAACAGTTTATGCTTTAGATGAGTGTACTGTACAACTGTATAAAACATAATTTGTTGTGTATGATTAAAAAGTGTTGTGTGGCCTCCCTAAATGCTTATATTCTTAGTTATTTATTGTTACTTGCAATTTTATTTAAGGTCGGGACTTGATCGCACAACACTGTCTTTGTCGGAATTATCGTAGCTATCCCATTTTGTAGCTCGAAATAGAATTTTAGTAGGTTGTGACCTGTATAGGGCTTGTATAGGGCTTGAGGCTACGACCCCATAATCTCTACCCTTCACTTGTTTACCTTGTGTGTGTGCTAATTTTATAATGCGTGTTGTAATATTACACGTTTAACCCACTACTTATGGTTAAATACCAATTGGCCCCTAAACAGATGGATAATTTTACCCCTAACCAACTCCAAGAATACTTTATTATCATCCTTCATTCTTCAGTTAGTGGCATCAAGGAAATTGTTGTGTTTCCTCCAAAATTTTCAACTTAATGGCTTCATTTAGTATAACAAAATCAAATCGTCCAACAAAATAAGCATTACTAATTTAGAAAAGAAAACACCCAAAGCACCCCAAATATCAGAAGCTATATATTTAAAATTTTGGTTAAAAGAAGTAACAATTTATCAAGAATAATTTGGCATGCAATCAAAAAAAGAAAACACCCAAAACACCCCAAAATATGATCATAATCCTACAATTAAAACAACCTTACTCTAAACACCACAAAAAAACATCCCTACACTAACCAAACCTCAACCGCATCTACTTTCACTCATTTCATTCACACTCATATATACATACAATTTACCCATTTTTACAATCTAACCATATCCCTCATCGTTTCTTCCATAAGATCTCTAAAAATCTGACACTCAACCTCCTTCACAACAACATCAATCTCCTCATTTGCCAATTCCATCCATGGCATTGACCGTAAATCTCTACTCACCATGGTGTCAAAAAAGTAAAAAGATTTGTCGACGTGAGTGTGTAAATATTCACGTAACATCCCCCACACTTGGTCCAATAACGTGTTGCCATGTGGTGGTCTAATACCCGTACCTTTTCTACGAGCTAATACTGTTGAAAGTACCTCGTTTAGTAAATCAAGTAATACCTTGTGATCAATCTTTTTTTGGTCGGATTCTATTGAGGATAGTTTGATGCTATTTACTATATGTTTTTGCGATGATTCAACTTGCTCAAAAACCGTGTTGGTTATTGGTTTTGCAAATGTGTCCCATTTGGATAATGATTTATCAAATGAATTATGGTATAGACCAGATGCGACTAGTAAGTCTTGTATGTATGCTTCGTTTTCATCTTCAAGGTCTACAGTGTCAACCTCGTTATCATACAATTGCTCCTCGATTTGAAACTCCTCAGATACTCGACCCTTCCCAAGTTCATTCAATTGCTTCCGTAGCTCTGTAGTTAACAAATAACTTTATTGTCAGATATTACCAAAACATAGGGTTTTGTTCGATTTAATGAAATAGAATGACTAATGAATGAAATAGACAGTGTAATGGAAAATAGTCAAATACCATTTAAATTGGAGCTGATGTCTCTAAAAGCTTGAGGCATATCATTGTCATCTAATGGAGTTGTGGTCGGACTCGCACAATATCTAAAGTACTCCTCATGGATGCTGCTACACACGGACGCGGGACTAGGTGGAACCTCAGTCGAATTTTCCTAAAATCGAAACATATAAATTCGTTAACAAAAAAGGAAATCTTGGAATATTTTAATAAAATAAATAAATAAATGAATAATAATTCTCACAGGTCTATCGGGAAAGTTCATCATAACCGTTGGTCCATTCATAATATCTTTCACAAAACTCCGATCATTTTCACGAAACTGATCATTAGCTGAATGTATCTTTCTAATTCTCCCAAATAATCTTGCCCTTAGAGACAAATTGTATTTCAAATTTGTCACTTTTTCCTTCAAATTGAATCGATCTTTCCTTTCTTTTTTCACCAATAACTTCTCGTTACCTTCATGTTTCCTTCGAATATGAGCACCAGTTACCACGTGTCGATCTTCTAGAAGAAGCTTTCCAAACGACGTTCCCGATGATACAGGAGCAGATAAAGATCTAACAAGATTCACAGGAGATGACAGAATCATATCATCGTCATCATCGGGCCCACACCTGAACGATTTACTTTGTATATCGTTTTCAGTTTCATCAATTGAATGTGAATGTGACGATGACGATTCTCTCTTTAAAACATTCCTTAATCTCTCCGACAAATGTTTCCTCGTATCTCTGCTAATGAACTCCGGAGAATTCGTTTGATAAGATCTTGTTGATTCAGAACGAAGCAAATTAGTTCCGAGGTCTTTCGTTACGCTTTCTCTCACTTGTTTTGCGATTCGTTGCGCGATTTGTTTCGGATCCGACAGCCGCTCACTGTACGGCGTTTCGATTCCGCCGCCTCTTTTGACGCTTTTACCTTGTAACTCCAATTTTAACCGTTCTTTCACTTCTTCTAGAAAATCTTCGATTTTATTTCTATCTTCAGAAGCATGTGAAGAAGAAGTCGCCCATGGCTCTTCGGAGTTACTAACGTTGTCAAAACCAGGTCTCAGGATTACTATCTTTGTCGGCGCTGAATATTGGTCGAAATCTTCGCTTAATGTTTCTCTTCTTTTAAAAAACGATCGTTTTTCATCTGATTTCAATGAACGAGACTTTCGTAGATCTTCGTGTGTTTCAACTGGGTTTGCATAAAGAGCCATTTTTTGTGTGTTGAGATTCTGTTGAGCGATGAACTGGTCAGAAACGGCGACGTTTTCAACTATCTTTGAACATTCTTTAAACCTTGCGGTTTGCCATGCCTCGAATTCCTTTTTAAACTTTTGTAGTTCTTCCTCTTGAGGATGCTCACGTGGCATGGGTTTCTTTGATGACGTGTTGACACTCCATTCGTCAGAATCAGTCTCTTCGTTTAAATGAAATGAATCCAGATTTATCTGTTTGATAGATTTTGAGGAAACTGTAGAGCTAGCTGAGCTACTTCTCGTGAGTTTTTCTTTATAAAAATCGTTCACTGGTTTTGTATCGATTGGCATTGTATCCACCCCCATTAATCGAGCCACAATGCTTGGGGCGTTTGCTCTGCTCTTGGGCTTTTTCGTCATTTCATCACTTATTAACTTCTTCATTGGAGCTTCAGCTGGAAAATAGCCAGTTTCATACCAGTCATGTGTCCCTTGATGCTTATTATGCTGAAAAATTATACAACAGTTTTTTACAAGTTAAAATAAATGAAAATTTTAGATACATATATATACACACAAATCTTACCAGTCCATCATCTTGTTGTGTGTAGTAACTCTTGTAAGTTCCAACAGGAAGGTCTAAACTGTTGCGTGGGGCCTCTAAACCTGAAAGGCATGAGTTAGAATATATCACTTTAAGTGTTTGGTTCTTTCTTTTCTTCTTTCGTTCTAAGGTATTGAAAACTACGCCTTAAGTTATTGGAGATTGTTTAAGTGTTTGAATCTTTCTTTATGGAGGCACGTGGTTTTTCTTCGGTTTTGGAGTTTTACGTGATGATAAAAATGGGTTGTGGATGATTTTAATGTTAGTAATGCTTACCATGAACATTTCTCTTTTGTGTACCAATTTTTCTAGCCATGGTTCCTCGTTTTAAATCAACTAAGTGGAAGAATCCTCCCATATACAGGTAGTGTCACCACCAAGAAACGTGAATGTGCTCAAGGGGAAAAGTTCATTTCACAGCCTGTAAAGCCATAAATAAGATAATTTAATATATTGAAACCTTATAGCCTTGAAATCTAAGAAACAAATAAAAGAATACAGAGGAAACACCAAAGAACACACAGAATATTTATCTTACATGTGAGTGGGGCTTTATTCAGCTAGAACCTGGAAATTTCAGAGTTCTTTGAATTTATTAAACTTGCATCAAAATATTTGCATATAAATACCCACAAAAAAAAAAAAAATGAAGATGTGGGTCTAAGCAATTTAAAAAAAAATAATAAAAAATTCCTCTTTCTGAATTGTTTATGTGCTGACACATTTTCTTACAAACACATTTATCTGGCAAGTGAAGTGCATTATAATTAAGCACAGCCTGGGCCTACCTGTTACATGTTGTAATCGACTTTCAGTCAAATATCACATTATCTTGTTAAAATCATAATCAGAAAAAGCTACTATTTCAATTCTTATTTTCTTTTTATCTAGTTACATGATTAAATCACTCAATGCAATGAAACAATAGTAAAAATCCAAATAGGAGTCAAAGAGAAATTTACATCAGGTAATAACTAATAACTGCTCTTTTTTTTTTTTTTTTTAAAAAAAAAAAAAACTGTATTCAACATTCTATCGCTTTTACAGAAAAATAACTGCTTCATCCCAAAATAACTGCAAAAAATTCGTTTCTCCTATTTTATCTATACGAAAAGATGTTCCTTTTTAGCATATTGAAGAAGGAGGAGATTATGAGAATCAATCATCTAATTAATCAGATTTCAGCTCACAAATGGATAAAGGTCAAACACATAATTCAACCACCCAAAACAATTTCAATTAAACAGAAATCCACAATTATTAGCAGAATGAACTTGATGAACCTGAGTTAATCGATGGCAGATATATACGCAACATTTGACAATATATGCTTCATTTGATGAAATCATCACAGATAATCACAATTCAACAAACTCGAGAAACAATCATGAATCCGATGTCATGATTGCAGGGAAATCTATCTATCTATAAGAATAAAGGAAAGTCATCGGAATTATGAATTACCGTTGTTGTTCTTCTCATGATCAAGTAAATCATCAGCATCCAGAAATTCCTTCAGATCCGAACCAGAAAACCAAGCTTGTAATAATCATCATCATCATTTAATTCAGCGCATTGAAGAATTTGTTGGAAGAGTGGGAGAGAGAAGAAAGTACAAGTTATTGAGAGAAGCAGCGTAGCAGGGAATCTAAACCGGGAAATAATTATGGCGAGATGAGGAAAAAGTTGTGCTGCTTGGCCTTTTAGCATGAGACTTCCCACGACCCAAAAGCTCTACATCGTGTTGTCTTTATTATTTCTTAATTATCGAATACGGCTATCATCATAACCGTTTGATTTATCTAATTATTAAAAGGCATGATACATTACAATATTACATCAAATAACAACTTATGTTTATCATTTAATTCAAGGACAGTTCATTAAAAAAAGGATACATATTGCTTAATTTTGCAACCTCCCATTTGCTCTTGCTATTAAAATTTTATAAAGAGAGTTCATGATTTAGATCCTAACACATCCAAAATATTATCAGTGTTTTATGATTGACTTTCCCATATAGACTTTGTGATAAGTTGATGTGGGCGTTCATATGACGCAATTTACTATTTAAAAAAAAAATAAATAAATACTTTTACGGGTTATATTATACCAGGTTTTATTAGTTTTTATGTCTAAGAAAAATTAGAAAACTACAAACAACTCGTCTCCAAGTATCACTTTGTTTTCTTATTTTATGTCCTATAGAGGGTCCATAATTTTTTATATTTTGTCTACATTTGGTCCTTATTACTGCTAATGTCGGGCTTCAATGGTTATATGACAAATTTTTTTATATAAACATTAATGAGGTGGAAGTTATGTGCATCGTCATATGTCATAAGTTTGTCATTATTGAGACTATAAAAGTCCTTCATGTTCTGATAGTGTTCTAACACGATCATCAAGGCTTTACAATATCGATTTAGTTTGAAAGAAGTTAGGGATGGCAAAAAAAACCTCATATCCGAGGGGGAACCCGAAACCCACACCCGTTTTGACCGAGGAATCCTCAAGTTGACCAGAGATGGGGAATCCCCGAATAAAAAAGTGGGAATGGGGATGGGGATGAGGATACCCCTAGTCCTTGACCCTGGACTCGGCCCAAGTGTGTGTGTGTGTATATATATATATATATATATATATATATATATATATATATATATAATATATATATATATCTATATATATATATTCAAAACATATATTTATAGTATATTTTACAATACCTAAAAGTTCATCAAAGCAACACAACTCATTACTAATTACTTTGTTGAAATTGTACTTTTCCTTCTTCTTTTATCTAATTTAACAGTGTATAATTTTCTTCTTCTTGGTTTATCTATTTTACCTCAAATATCGCTCTCATAATTTTTTTTTTTTATGCAATATTTAAATTTGGTAGAAAATTTGTATATAGTTTTTATGCAATCTATGAATACTTTTATGTTTTTTAAAATCTTTAAACTTATGTTGATAAAATTGAAACTTACAGTTTTTCTTTACGTAAAAGTTTTTGATATTAAAAGAGAAAAAGAGATCCTCAATTCCATGTATTCTCCACCCCCGTTTGGGGTGGGGATGGGAATTCATTTATAATCACTGATGGGGATGGGGATGAGGATGAGGATTGGAATAAGGATTCGGGGATTGGGGTCCCGTGTATTCCCTGCCCCCGTTGTCATCTCTAGAAGAAATGAAGCGTCGTCCATAAGCTTTGATCAAATGTACACAACATTGAATAAGGTACATTCTAATTCAATTTTGTAAACTCTTAGGTTATTTGAAACCCTAGTCTTCACAAGAAACTTTGATACATGTAAGACGACAACTTTCACTAACATGAATATTGATGTTGATTCACTGTCGTTGACAATAGATATATATTACGCAATTATTTCCGTTCAAACCCCCTTCCCTTACGTTGACCCTACAATCTTAACTTTTAGTGATGTCAATTTCATGGCTATAAAATCATGAAGACTTTATTGTTTTTCTTCATGATATAGTAAATGACAGAAATAATGTGTATTATTGTAGTCCAAAAAAGTTATTGTCTAATGGGCTTAGACTCTTTGTAGTATAGTGATTGTTATATGGAATTCTTAGAGTGTGGTCTTATCAATGGTGGTATGATAATTGTCTACATTAAACATCATGGATATGATACACATGAGGCTTGCAAATGAAATGGATATAAATGAAGGACATGAAACAGAAGATCATGATGATGATTAAACTATAGACCACAATCATAATGAAATTTAAGGCCATGATCAAAATGAAATTGGTTAGGATTATTGTCTTTTAGATGATAATGTTTCAACCGATCTTGAACCATAAGAAAAGGTTATAGGTATTTTTGAGCACTTAGAGACTTTATTGAATGAACTCTTGATAATGTAGACTTTGATGAAATAGTTACTATGGAGAAAGTTCGTATAGTTCACCCTACACATGATCCAACCAATAATTAGAAGTATATAGTCCCAATTGTTGGCATGATATTTGAGAATCAAATTTGGACTAGATTACCATCATTTTCGCAAAGTGCACGGACAACCCTAATGGGCAGATAAAAAGAACATATATATTACACCTTTAGGGGTCGTTGTGTAATATGGAAAAAAGATTGGGCTATGATTTCGTATTGTGTAGTTCACTTTTCATTGATCAATAAGCCTTAGTTTCTCTTGTTCGCTCGTTAAGAAACCTATTAGGTTATATGCTTACCAATTATTTAGTTGCAAATAGATATGATATATGGTATGAAAAGAATGGAAAGTAAATAGTACTTGTTAGACGTGGGAGACAAAAGTGAGCGAAACTTTTTAGCTAGTATGCTTCTTGGATGGGCAATGATATAAGCTTTTAGATTACACTAAGTAAGAATCACAATTTTTCTCAAAGCCTTACATGTAAATCAATGGTTACGTTTTGTTAGATTGCCAAAACTTATATAAGAGATATCTTATAGAACCCAAAAAATTCCTTTTATAGAGATACAAAGTGACATAGATAAGAAGTATAACTTGAAGGTTAGTTTTTCTGAGTGTAATAGAGCCAAGAAAGAAAATTTTCTAAAATAGAATGGACTTTTCAAAACCATTATAATAGGTTATGGATTTATGTTGAGTAAATAAGTAGGTCCAATCCTAGGTACTATTAGATTAGATGAACTCAATGCCTAATTGAGTTGATTACTTCAATAAATATAGGGTGTGTTTTAAATATGTGAAGGATGAGTAGTTTGAAGGGTGTAGAAGGGAAATTATAGGTAATGGGTGTTTCTTAAATAGAATTACAGGGGTGAGTTAAATTATTCAGTTAACAGAGATGTTAACATTCACATGTTTCCCATTACTTATATAGTTTGTTGTGTGTTAAATAAGGACTTTTGGAAGTGGTTCTTATAGAAGTTAATGGAAGATTTTGGCATGAGTAATGGAGCAAGTGTTACTATACCATGTAACCAACATAAGGTACAATCATATGCCTATCTAGATTGATTGTAGTTTAATCTACTAATCAAGATATTTGACTTTTTAATAACATCGTATACAAATAGTTGGGGAAGTTTGTGACAACCCGAAACTTTTATCCTGTGCAATTGATCTGTATATCAATATTTAACTTGATTTTATCAATCTTTTAACACCGTTTAAGAGTTAGTTTAAGTGTTCTAAGCTTGAGTACAGTCGGGAATGAGATTAGAAATGAGTCAACAAGTCGTATAGAGACAAAATCGGGCCATACACCCTCCTGAGAGGTGTGTACGGCCGCACACATGGGTGTGCGGCCGCACACCCACCCTCCAGCCGCACACTCCCCCTTATATATATAAGGAGACCCCCTTCACTCATTTCTTTCCTTTGGCTGCACTCTACTTTCTCTCACTACTTTCTCTCTCTAAAAACTTCATCCAAGAACACTCAAAAGGGCCTCAAAAACGTGAACTGCTCCATCATTCAACTTGTTATAGTGGTAAGACACCTGAATCTAAGCCTAAAACTCATAGTGTTCTTCGCGTTCTTCATTCTTTGAAGGTGTACGGCCGCACACCTTCATAAGGTGGCCGCACACACCTTAAAGCTCTCCAAAGTGAAGAGTTTGGCCTTCATTCACTAGTAGGACTTGGTATTAGCACAAGAACACCTCAAAATCGTCATTTCGGGCACAAATGAGGAGTGTACGGCCGCACACTCCTGTGTACGGCCGCACACACCCTCTGTACTGCCGCACACTCATGTGTGCAACCGCACACACAGCCTGGCCGCACACCGTGGCCGCACACCCACTCAAATGGCCGTACACCTCCCTTGTTTGATCATATAGGGTCCCGACAAGCATTTCCGAGTCTTTAGGGTGATTTCCCGCCATGTTTAGTCATGAAACACCCTAATTCTAACACACATATGTGTATCACATGGTAATAGGATCCACTTACGTACGAAACATCGGTTGACGCTCAACACTCGTAACCAATTGTGCTTTCGGATCCTACGATAAACTGTGAGTTCATACCCCTACGCTTTTTCCGAGTTTTTCATGTTTTCAGGGGGGGGGGGAATACAAGCAAAAGTACAAGGAAACTTGTACTCAAGTATATTATTTTGTTTAAAATAATTATATGTTCAGTATGCTTTTAACTCAGAAAACCGTTTTACCAATCGATTAAGAAATCAACTCGTAGAAACAGTTTTCAAAACTAAAGCAAGGAACTTGTAAATCTTATCATAGAATGTGATATTTTCTAAAGGATTCATGTAAATCATAAGCAGGATTTTCGTACTATTACTTGTAAATTTGTTAGGCTAAGTTTGAGACATGTCCTTGGTAACACTCCATCGGATTCGTGAGTGGAGGACTACGACTTATAACCAGAATCTCTTGGAGGGAGAGCGTGACTATTGTGTATAGATCTATATGGGACTGACTATCCCGCATCCTCGCTGCTAGCTACAGCGGAACCGTTAGGTTCAGGGGTGACAAAGTCATAAAAGATACTGGCCCCCGTTTCGTGCCTTATCCAGTCTAAGTACGGTTATGGCACTCACAACTTAGGTAACGAGAATTTACTTTTATAATAATGAAACGAGTGAACTAACCTCAAAGTAATATCCGATTTGATTACTAGAGGGCATCAGTAACGCCCTTAGGATCTAGTTCACTACCTATTTTATTAGTTTTATTTATGTAATAAGGCTAATACATCTCACAGCGAGTAACCAGGTTTTTTCAAGGAAACTACATC